AGATTGCTTAGAAGGTGTAAATTAAAAGATAAAACTTACTGCTAAAAACTGCTTCTGTATATCTGCTTCTGCTTCTTGCTTAATTGCTGCTATGTGATTCTGTAACTCCCATTGTCGCCATTGTTCTGATTTCTTGTCAAAAACTGATTGTATTGTTCCCCATTTGCCGAAAGCGAATTGTGAAGGTATAAAGATCTCCTTCCAACTCTGTTCAAGCACCGCATTCTAACCATGAATGTTGGTCCCTGCAAGAAATCTTGCAGGTAATAAATCTCCTCTTTACTTTACCATCTGGTCTCTGGTCTCGTCTGTAACACCTCGGGTACAACAGACATCAAAGATAATTAAGATAATTTAGGAGCGTTTTGGATACAAGTGGTCAAGAAATTGGGGAATGAACCAGGGGATGAGGACTGCTCCAGGCAGTCAAAAATGGCTTGGATAGAGAACCTTTTTTCAAAGGTTAGAGGATCTATGGTGAGAGGGGAGCATTTTGGAAGAAGGAAACTGAATGTGAAAAATGGGGATGCACCAGGGACTGTTACAGGTGGGCCATAAAGGTAAATGAGTGTGTGCTAAGGGCTCCAGTTTGAGGAGAATGGAGTCTTTTACTGGTTAACATGACTGGATGGAAGTGTGATATATCTCAGATCACAAGAGGAGGCCCAATGGATACTGGAAAGCAGTCATGCTACACTGAGTTAGCACCTATGTATGTAAGGATGGGTGTGTAACCCTTCCTGAATATTTTTTTCTTGATTAGGGGTGTGGGAGAGATTCTCCAGTTATCATAAGGAAGGTGCAGGAGTGGCAGTAGGAATAATAAAATTGGGAGATGTGCCCTACCAGGGTCATTCATTATTCACAGAAGCGTGCCAGAGACATACAGGTAACTCAAGAAATGCCGGGAAAGGAAATAATCCCAACAAAAGGAGAGGTGATAGGAATTGAAATGGCCTCTTTTTCAGTATCTACTCATGTATATTTAGCACCTCTTCAGGAGCAAATGGCCTGTGCAATAGTGGCTTTTCCAAATGCTGCTATGCGCGCACTAGGGAAGCCTGCTGGAGAGATGCAACAAAGGGAGGCATATACACCACAAATTGGGGTGGCTCTGAATCATGTTTTCCATGAGGGGCCTGTGGGGTGATTGGACACCCCTGCAAGATGGATTTAGACAAACAGATGTCAGTGAAGACCTAAGAGCAATCCAACAGGTAACACCAGGAATCAAAATAAGGCAGGAGTCAGGAATGGGAGAATGGCTGACATAATGGCTCCCCAACTTTATGTGGTTGGAACACCTGTTTTCATATTGGGGATAATGGCCGTAAGCATAACCTGCTGCACTAGCCTACAATGTATACTGGTCTGCACCCCATGTAATAAGGGGGTGCGTTTGGGGAAAATGCACAGACAAGGAGGAAATGATTAGGATGATGGTATCAAAGTTTAAGAATTGGGAATTGCTGTTTCAAATCAGGGTGGAGGAAAGAAAAGGGAGGAATTGATAGGTGTGAAAGGATGATTTGAAACAAGGGAGCAAAAAGATTTAAAAGGGTGACAAAGAAAATGACTTAGCCCAAAGGAGGGGAGGGGCCAAAACCAGATAGCACAAGGTATGGGGAAACAGGCACGTAGGCAGGAGGGCCAAATATTCCTGATTGTGTATTGACAAGCCGGGCAGAACAAAATGAGCCTATTGTAGCCCGGCGGGGGCAGGGCTGGATTGGGAAGAAGGGCCGGTGTTGGGGCAGCGCGGAGCAGGCGGGCGGAAAGAGTGCAACTCTCAGTGCCCTATTAGCCAATTAGGGGAAAGGAGGAGGGAACAAGCGGCGGGGAGCAGGGTTCAAAAGCGGGGTGTGAACACGTGCTCAGGTGAACAGAAGAATGGGAAGGAAATTGTTCCCTTCTGTTCCCTTTATTGCAATAAAGTTTTAAAAAGAACTCTCTGCATGCCTGGAATATTTTTCTCTTCCAACGGAAAGGAAAGAGTGTTCATAACACAATTCAGCCCCTACAGTCGGCTTCCCCACACCACCACAGCACTGGCCGCCTCCTGCTGGAAATGGCTTCCCCCTGCCCCATCGCTGTGTTTGTTTCCTGCTTCCTTGGTAGGGAGGTGAGCCAAGAGGCAGCAGGAGGGGGAGGAAGTGGGAGTCCAGCAAAGATGCCTGCCGGTCCTTTTGGCCGCTGCTGTGCCCAGGGTGCCACAGTGCCAGCCCCTGCTCTGCAACCTCCAGCAAATGGCTAACGAAGAACATGGGCAGAGCTAATTGCTGCTGTGCAGGCCCAGAGCCCCTAGGAGCAGTTGGGGCAGTAGGCCCTGCTCACTTCCAAAGCCAACACACTTAAGTGCTGAACTTTACGAACGCTTGCTCTTGGTATGTCATTTTTGTTATAGAGGACTGTGCAAGCTGGCTTGGGTTCCTCAAAAACGGAGACAAGCAGGGATATAAATGCAATGGTGGTGGTGGTGGCGGTGGCGGCAACAGCAGAAATATGAAGGGATTCAAACTTCCCTTTCTGCATGAAAATCACAGGAAGTTGCGATCTCAATCAGTTTGTTCTGGAAAGTCAGGGAGTGAAGGAAACTTCCATCCTATCTTCATAGGATGAAGATAGGATGAGATCTGGGCAGTATTTAAAATGTTTGTTTGGTCAATCAAAAAGCAGGAAGCACAGCAAGAATGCAGTCAGTTACCAGGGGGTAAGCAGGGTTTATTCTAAGTAGGCATGCACAGGATTGTGCTGTTGGTCGGACAGTTTGTTTTCAGCTGCTGGGGTCTCAAGCAGTGATCTTTCCTCTTCCTGCCACATGAAACCTTGAGATGGCAAAGACTTTGCCTTACCTTGCAGCCGGTTTCCCCCCTTTTGCTTGAGTGTGGATCGGGGCACCAAGCGGAACTCGGCTCACTCACAGCTGGCAAGGAGGGGAGCCCCATCTCCAGGGACACTGCCTAGAGCACTGGCGGGGGGGGGGGGGAGATGCTGGAAGGGAGGAGACTTGCCCCCCATGAGCTCAATCATCTGCTGGGTACGTCAAGATAACAAATCACGCAGACTGCAGTAACCACATGGGGAAGCCAGGAAAGAAAACTTGCACACATGGGATGGAGAACAGCACTGCCATCTCTTATGTATCCCATTGCAAGCAATATCCAATCGGCTCCCCTGATTTTCAAGCAACTACTTTCCACACAGCAATGCCTGCCACTCAATGGCTCCAGTGCAAAATACTGTGGTTTAACCCAAGAAAAGCAGCATCAGCCATGCTCAGTAATCAACAGATGTGCAAAGCCCCAATCTTGCAGCAAGGACCTTAATAAGTGGGAGCAACTTCAGCTAGACGATGTCACTGCCCTCGTTCCACAAACTTTTAGAGCCTGGGAGGAATCTTCAGGATGAACCGTGGCTATTCCTTACTCCACTATCCTGATGTGAATATCTGCCTGCAATTGTATGATGCGAAAGACCCTAGAATGTGTAGCATTCCCTAAACACCCAACTTCAAAAGATGACACCTGTTGGTACTGTTGAAATCTGCCTATAAGCTGGTCATGCATCATACCCCAAAGGAGGTGTTCCTCTATTTGAAGGTTAGCAGAAGGTGGTTGTCTAACCAAAAGCATGCCTGAAGAGTCTTCCATTCTATTGCATTTCAGAAGTTTATTTCTTTCAGCATTCAGCATTGCCCATAAACAATAGTAATATTTAGTAGCACATGGATAGAAGTGCTGCAATGCTAAAGAGCGCATCTTTAGTATCTTGCGAAACTACTTCTGGCATCCATGTTTGACCCTCTCAGTGGTAACTCACTGGTTTCAACCAATCAATTATCTCAACTGATGAAAGGTATTCCACAGTCGGCTATCTTAGATTCTTTTCTTGTTCTTCACATCCTTCTCTCAAACGGGTCAAGCAGTGTCCTCTTGGGGTTTCGCTGCAAAGGAGAAAAGGGCAGGGGGAAACAACTGATCAAAGAACTCTTTACACAAGAGGCCCCGTTGCTCTCCTGACTGGTTTGCAGTCAAAATGTTTCCTAAGCTGATTGCCAAACTCACTGGAGCACCTTCAGGAGGTGATGCAACTACCCCTCCCCTAACTCTGCTGCCTTTTCGGTAATCGTTGCCTTCCATCCCAGTTGATAATTACTCTGTAAGTTAAAAATTATAGATCCCTATGTTTGTCTAACCGACAGGGCAAAAGTGGGAGATATTGATCTGGAAAGCGGCACAAAGAGAAGGGAAAAATGCTCTGTGCTATGAAGGGGAAAAAAAATAACTCTACTATGGACGAATTTGCAATGCCCAGCAAAGCATTTGAAGGAGAAATGCATACTTCAGCTGTGAGTACAACACATGGCGCTTGTCAGGAGCCACAGGAAGAACCACAGCCCTTCACACCCTCACAAATTCTTTAGATGTAATCTTGTGGGACATTGCAGGTTTACGCCTAATAACGAGCTCATTTCATGGGACCAATTTGTGCCTGGATTCATCCATACCACTCCATGGCTACCAGTCACGATGGCCACATGCCCCCTCCAGATCAGAGGCAGCATTCCGCTCGGTTTCACTTGCAGAAAAGCAACAAGCAGAGAGAGTTGCTTCCTTCAAGTCCTGAACGGTGGCTCACCATGGGTAATAAGATACAACAGAGCACAATTCCTCTTCTGTAAGGTTTTGATAGCAGGGGATGCCAGTGGCTGCGATATCAGCAGGGCTCATTAAGCACTTGGGCTTCACAGGAGCTGTCCACAGTGCCGAATTCTACCTTCAAACTAAGATCATTACCAGGGGCAATTCCAATATTGCTCAGAATAAAAGCTGCCATGGATAAGAAGCTCCAAAGGCACAGGCTGCAACTGACAAAGTGCACAATCAGCCTGAACCAGGGTTTGCTGCCTTGCCGTTTGTGAAATAGATCTCCAGTATTATCCAAGGACTGAATTCTTCTCTTGGGATCTATTAAGAAAAAGGCACTCCTGGGGTTTCCAGGCACAGCTTCCTTCTCTGCATCTGGCTAAAAATAACAAATCCTCAGAACTCTCTGGGCTCACAGGAGAGATGTCACATAACTTCATATTGCATTGTTATTATATTGCTGCTTTAGCATTGTATTGTATTTTTAACTTGTTCAGAGAATGAATTTTGGCTATGGAGACAGTATATAAAAGCTTATATAAATATATCAATCCCTTTCCATTGCTGTTCTTACCTAGCAGCTGCAGAATGCCTTTACTGCTAAGCTGTAAAAGTGCTGAACTTCTTTCAGTCTGAAGCTCCAATTCCATTTTAAAGAACTGGGGACCATGTAATACAGTGGCGGATGCAGCCCAAATAATGGCTTTTTGTAACTTAAAGCTCTTTTAGTACCATAGCAGAGGCATCTCAGTCTTTTTATTTTGGTGGGAGGACATTCTGCACAAAGGCTGGGAAGCCATCAAATTATTAGAGCCTGGAGGAAATGGGGGCTGAGAAAGGGTTTGTGGCCTTCTGGAGGGCTGCAGAGGGCTGGACTGGGCTCCTTGAAGGAAGGCCAGATTTCACTCCCCGGCATCAGGAGGTGTCTCAGTTCATAATCCAGAGGCAATTGCCTACGTGTCCTCTTTCCCGGAGGACCAGAACTCACCCTTGCTGGTTCCTTTCATACGAAGTGTGGCTAAGTAATCACAGGGTGGGGGTGGTCTCAGCCGCTTGAGCTGGGGTGGTGCTGTGCTGATCTGGAAGAATTTCTGCTCTTCCACATCATACACCGGCCATTGCGCTTCGGTTGGTTCGGACCGCGTGGGATTTCTGTGGATCAGTGAAGAAACCAAAGTTGTCTTACCAGTGCAGACTCATTTGGGTGCTTTCCAGCTCTTGAAGCACTTGTGGGCCTACAACTCCCATCATCCCTCACCAAAGGCTATGCTGGCCAGGACTGATGGGAACTATAGGCCAAATTACCTGCAAGTCCAGATGTTCACTACCACTTTTGGCCACTTATGGATTTTAGCACAGGGAATTTTAGGTATATATTGAAAAGTATTTGCATACGGGTTTGATCATGTTGCTTCAGAAGCCAGAGCAATGTATCTATGAACTCCAACCATGCCATAGTTCCAGAGACAGATTTGGGAAGCCCCTGCTGAAACACCTGCTCAACACCCGCAATCCACTGGCAGGCCTCCTCCTTGGTCAGCACACCTGGCCAGGTGGCTCACTCTAGCCACCTTTCTCCTTTCCTGCCATGCTCCAGAGCTCTGAGCTGCAAACGATTTAAAGGGACTGGATGGTAGGCACCCGCAGCAGCTGGAGGACTTCAGTTGCTGAATGCCATCTTTGCAGGGGCATGAAATGGTTTTTAATCAAAATGGCTGTGTCACCTTGGCCCAGATTCACCGTGATCCAAGATAAATTAACTCACAGTGGAAATCAGGCAAAAATCTGTGATGTCTGGGAAAAGGCCAGAGACTTGGATGTGGACCGGACCCCCTGCAACATTCCAGGTGAACTACTTTTGTGACTCAAAGGTGCCATCTACAAAATGGATGAGTGCATTTTTCTAGATGATGGGCACAGTCGCCACAAGGATACACACAGTTATGCAGCCCAAAATGGAGAATCCTTACCCACTCCTGGCAAACTCTGCCCAGTATCGCATCACTCGGCGGCTCAGGGCAACCTCGGCTTGTGTGACTGATTTGTTTCTTGGAAATGCGGATGCAAAGCTTCCGAACAGGTAAGGTATCTCAACTGCATAGGGTGTCTGTACCCACTCAGGCCAATCAGAGGCAGAAGTACGGTGATCAAAGGAATACACATACACCGGAGTCTTCGTTTCTTTCACCTCTAAAGAATACTTTATAGGGTTGTAGAGATGTGTCTGGATTTTTGTCTTGCTCATCTTTGCAGCAAATTCATGCAGTGCACATGAAAAGAAATAATCTCTAAAATATTGAGCAAAGGCCAAACGGTACCGTTCTGGCCCATCGTAACCTTCGCTGAACCTCAGGGCTACAGCCTCAGCAACCTCTTCTGCAGTTCCCCTTTCCATGGTTCCCTTCACTCCTTGAAGGAGCTCCTCCCAGGTCAGTATCCTGCCATCCCCTTCAGCGCTAGGATACCAAAATAATACAAAGGTTGAGCCTTCATCAGCTGTGATACCAGTGAGGACTGGTTTCCCCTGCAAGGCTGTGCTGTCCAGAAGCTTCGGGGGTTCATCTGGGAGGAACTCTCCATCAATTGTCAATGAGTTGATGGAATACAGGGGCTCAAATGCTTTATCTTCAATGTCTATTTCTTGTAGGCACTTGAGCACGGCAGTCCGGTTTTCACTGGCACATCCCACTGCGCTGCTTACCCCGACTGTATCTTGTTCGGCGTCTTCGGTAGTTTTCCAAGGCCAGAAGGCATTGGGGACTCCGCTCTGAAGCACAGCACGGGCAAAAAGGGGGTTGCTTGCTGGAGAGAGCAAATGGAAACCCACCATGGCTGCTCCAGCACTTTGCCCAAGGAGGGTCAGCTGGGCCGGATCCCCGCCAAAGGCAGCAGCATTCTGTCTCAACCACTTCAGAGCCAGCCATTGGTCCCACAAGCCAACATTTCCCAGTGCTTCTGGAGGCATGTACAGAAAGCCCAATGCCCCCAAGCGGTAATTCATGGACGCCACAATGACTTTTTCTGTAGCAGCCAATAACGCTCCGTTGTAGATATCCAGGGAGGCGGTGCCGCTGATCAGGCCGATACCCTGGATCCATACAAGGACAGGCATGGGCTCCACGGGCCGCGGGCTGGGCACCCAGACGTTGAGAAAAAGGCAGTCCTCCGAAAGTGGCGTGTTGGCAGTCCATAAGGCTGCATCGGGGAACTTGGAAATGTTTGTCTGGGGACAAGAGTTGCCAAAGCTGGTGGCCTCCAAGACACGGCTCCACGGCTGGTGAGGGCGGGGCTTCTGGAAACGCAGCTTCCCCACAGGGGGCTCGGCATACGGGATGCCCAGGAAGGCCGTCACAGAGCCTGAGCTGGTTGGGACCGTCTTGCCTTTCACGGGGCCACTGCTTGTGATCACCACGCCATCATCTTGAGAAGCGGAGCCCAGCATCAGAAGCAGGAGGAAGAGAAGGCCGAAGAAGGAAAGGCGGGGAGAAGGCATAGCCGCTGCAGCTGAGTTTTTTGAAGGAAAATATTATGTGTTTGTTTAATATGAATCCTTCCCTCCTGCCTAAAAAGTGCCCAGATTGGCTCTTAGCGCCATATGCTATAGGTTTACTGCCCAGGGGAGAATCCCTCTTTGCCTCCTATATAAGAATTCTGTGATGCACCAGAGCAAGGGTGGGTGACGTGTGGCCCCCTCCGCCCCCCTGCAGCTGCCGCTGCCACCCTTCAAAATGGTAAAGCAGCAGCAATAAAAGTGTGTACCCCATTTAATGCAATCTGATTTTGCCACACCGGGAACTCTGCTGCCTTTCAGAGTGCATTTTGTGTATGTATTATTTTTCTGATGCTGCAGGTGAGGAGGCAAGATGGCCACCAACCCCCCTGAAGTTGCCACTGTGGCTCTATGTCAGTGGATGGATTTGCTGTGCTGTCAGGATCCGTGATTAATTGTTACCAGCAGCATCAGCATCTTCTGTCTCCACCAAGAGCTTGGTTGGCTGCCCCTCCGCTCTAGAACCACACTCTGAGGAAGACCCTCTTCACACCCTCTTTCTTAAAAAGACAAGTTTTATTTAATGTAAAACTATACACTGCACAACATTGATTTATTGCATTATATAATCAATGTGTCCAAGTATATTATCTTCTCAACAAGGACCTGTGTAACATCACCTGTAAACATCTATGAAGTTGTCAAGCACATTAAATAGCATGTTACATAAATTTTGTTCATATCTTTACACCAGTAAGTGAGGAAGTAGCAAAGCAATAATATATTAATCTCTAGACCGTAGACATCTTTCCAATTTTCAATAAAAGTTTCCAATTTCAAGGTTTTTCGTTTTGGACATTTCAATGAAATAACTCTTATTTTTTACTTAATTAGCAAAATAAACACAGAAACCAAAATGAAAATAGAAAGAATAATATATGATAAAGGGGGAGGGTAGAAAGGGAAAGGAGTATGTTAAAATACCTCACACTAAGAAAAAAACGTACCAAACAAGTGAAAAAAGTGTGTTTAAAACTCAGACGACAAATAAGTACAATGTAGATTAGCAGAATATGCAGTGATGGCAAAGTTAACTAATTCTGTAAATAGAAGACCTTTAGAAGAATTTAATGACAAATGGAAATTTTATTGTGCTTAGCATGACTAATGGAAGTTCAGGGAAGTATGGAAAGGAAAAAGAAAAGTGTTAGAATTTGAACTGGTTAGAAAATCTGTTGTTGTACAGAATCATGATTCTTTTTTCTTTTTTGCAAACTCTCATAGAGTGAGGGAAGATATGAAGACATAAGAAGTTGGTTCTGGGGGCTGCAGTAAATGGGCTGTGTTTGTTTGTAATTCCCTTGGCAATTTGTTTTATTTTGTTCACTTTCCATCATTCTAGTGAATACTCTGGAATGATGGAAAGATGAACAAGTGGGACCTAAATCAAATAAATCCAGAATTTTCTCTAGAATCAAGCATGACAAAACTTGACAAAAGTTGTCATATTGTGGGCTTGTGAGAAGGCAAGACTTGCTGGAGAAAACAGGCATGCTAGGGTACATCAAAGCGAAAGGAGGAGGGAAAGACCACATCTGAGACAGATCGATTCCATTCGGGAAGCCACAGCCTTGAGTTAACAAGAGCTGAGCAGGGCTCTGAAGGGCAGGATAATTGGGGGGACCTTCATTCCTAGGATGACCAGAAAGTGGAGATGACTTGACAGCACCTAACAACAGATTTATATCTATAAATATATGGATTTATATCTAGATCATCTAGCAATTGCTTGTTATTACTTTTCTTCCATTCCTGTCTCCATGTCACTTCACGAATACTTGCTTCAAGATCTTGTATATCAAGCTCATCTAAAATATTTATAAGCCTCTTTTCTACTTTATAATCAGCCACTTTCCATTATATTTAAATGAGAACATCAAGTAAATGTGCCATTTATATTTAACACCTTCTTGAGTTAAACTTTGTCAGAAGTTTAAAATTCTTTCTGTTCTGTATATTGATCAGTCAAAATATTAATTTTTATCTGCAATTCACAAGTTTGCATCCATACTGACATTTCTTATAATTTCTTATAAGTTTTTGCTCCCTTCAGGAAGTCTCACAACTGTTCATACCATTGTTATAATGATGTTCTTATATTAAAAATAATGCAACATTTAAAAGAAACAAAAGCATAAGCAATAAAAAACAAATAATATTTCATAGGTTTTTACAGAGGAAAAAGCCCTAAACTTTAATGGACAGTTCTTCCTACAATCATTGTTATATCTACTGAAACTATATTATTTTTTAACTCTTCCAATCAGAAACAAACACAGGAAGAGAAAAAGAAGAAGAAAAGATGAAGAGAAAAGGGAAGAAATCAAATTTTCCTGGACTGGCAGCAACTTTCTATCAGAAAACTGTTGAAGCTTTTCCAGGTAGTTAATATGTTAATACACAGTTCTCAGTCTTACACAATTTCCGTAATGGGCTAAATAAAGGCTTGAGGAGCAGAAAGTGTTCATTAGAAAACCAGTTAATTTGTTACCTCAAGGTTTGGTTTGCTTAAAGCTTAGCTGTTAATGTCACACTGCTTCCCTCAAGGAGTCTCCTCTGGGCTGCACGAGCGGCTTTTCTTGGGCAAGAGCTGGCAGTTCCTCAGCTGCTTCTCAGGGCAGTGTCAGGGAATTCAAGACGGACAGAGCTAACTGCTCCCTTGGCTTCTACTCCCAGTCATCTTCTCTGTGCCTTTGCTGCCTTGGATGGATTATTGGGAGAAAAAGGCTCTTCCTCCAGGAGCAAATGCTTCAGCTGCTCCTGGATGGGCAGATCTGATTGCTCCAAATGCTGCAAGCAAGCCTTATTCTTAGATTTATATATTTTATAGGTCACTTTTTTAGCTCTTAGAGAGAAACTGAGGCATCTTGCACAGTCCTCCTCTACTCCATTTTATCCTCCCAACAACCCTGTGAGAGGTAGGTTAGACTGAGAGTCAGTGACTGTCCCAAAGTCACCCAGAGAGCTTCAGTGACTGAGTGAGGACTAGGACATGGGTCTCCTGCTCCTGGTGCGCCACACTGGCTGATCTGAAACTGTTACTCCAGATCTACGACTACCTTCATAGCAAAAGGATTTGGAATGCCTTTTCACATTATTTCCCCTTCAATGGCTTTGGCATCAGCAATTCCCTTTCTTTCCTGCTATCTTCTTTTTCAGTAAGGGACCTCACCTGTTGCAATGCAGCCACAATGCCTTCCCTGGTTTTTTCACCCACCCCCAGCAATGTCCTTAAAGGGGGATTAGATAAATTCCAGGAGGACAAGGCACTCAATGGCCACTAGTCCCAATATATCCCATATCAGAGGCACTGTGCCCATGTGCACCAGATGCTGGGGAACATGGGTGGGAATGTGCTCTTGCACTCATATCCTTCTCATGGGTTTCCTATGGGTGGATGGCTGGTCACAAATGGCTGGTCCGAATTTGCAACCCATAAAAAGTTAAGGAAGAATCGAAGACTGGCCTGAGACTCTGCAGGTATAACGAAGTTGAAGAAATGAAAGCAGCAGTCTTTCAAGGGGTTAAAGAAATAGGAGAAGAGAGGACAAATAGTGTGGAAATAGGCTCTTCACTATGAAGTTGGAAGGAAAATAAACATGAAACTCTGCTTTTGTCAATTTACACTGGCTTCTCAAAGCACTGAGAATTAATCCTTTAATTTGACATTTTCAGCCCGCCAACATGTAACCCTGCTTTGATCAGCAGGTCAAAAGCACACCTTAGCTTGATCACCTTGGATGCTTGCAGCAAATCCTCAGTGCTCCCTCAGTACTCCAGGCGGAAGCTGGGATCAGTTCCCTCGTTGCGCTGAGAGAATCGGAGGCCCAGGTTCTCATTCATCCGATCCATTGACCACGCAAACCTAGTCATGTCTGCTCAGAAGTAAATCCCACTGAATTCACTGGGGCTTACTCTGGGGTACCTGGACATAGGATTGCATCCCGATTCATGCAGACATTTGTCCTAACACATACATCTCAGAAGGAAAGGCTGGGGCTGAGGACCCCCCAAATGGCTCAGATCTCTTGTGCTTGGCCACTCAATTGCTCAAAGTATCCCCCATTATAGCCATCCCAGCCTTTGCCACTCTGATTTAAACAAACCCATCCATTGCGCAGGCGCTCCTTATGTGAGCTGGGCAGAAAGGATGTCCTTCTAAGTGCAACAACAGAGGTGGCAAGAAAACACAGTGCAAGGATTCTGCTTTGAGAACAGAAGAAGAGCTAAGCTTTCGCACAGGGGCCAAGCAGCCCCTGGAATGCAAGCTGGGGTGTCTGTAGCACAGCGCCACCTTCTGGTCATGTCATGGAACATCCAGAAAGGCACGAAAGGGAAGGCCTCAACACGTGTGAAGGGGCCAATCTGCATCTGGCAAGGAACCAGAACCCTGCAAAATGGTGGGGTGACCAGGGCGCCAAGCCCTAGAGGACTGCTCCCTACCCGCTTTCTCACAGCAAGCACAAGCACATGCACCTCCGCGGTGCCTCCCTATACCTGACTTCTTTCCAAAATAACAGTACCAAACAGGAGGCAAGTGCACATGACACCGAAGGTTCCCAGTGCGTCACCCTGTGTGTCTACTTTATGTGGGGACCCAGTGTGACTGACCAATCATCAGCATGCTGGGGGTCCTGAGGTACTTGCTCCCCCTTCCGTCTCCCCACACCGGACATCACAGGGGCATGAAGGTATTTCCTATCACCAAAGGGGTGGGAAAGAGGGAGCAGGGACTGCCAACTACTGGCCTTTGCCTCAACTCACAAGTAGACCTTTCAAGCCGCCTCTGCCAGTGCTGCCGTGCTGTGCTGCTCCTGCCCAGTGTCACCAGTTCAGGGCGGCGGCACTGGGTGGGGGAGCTGAGCTGCACTCTGGTGCACCAGCAGTGGCTGGGCAGAGCAGGATCCTGCACCCCTCTCCACCACTGCAGGTACTCAGCAGTGGCCACACCAGATATAGGGCCTCCTCTAGAGTAAGTGGAGCTCAGTGTGGCCCTCCCCGAGGGCTGTGATGCCAGTCGGGGGCATGTGGCAGGACAGAGAGGTTGCTGATCGCAGAAGCCACCCCCACAGCTCTCAGAACAGCTGCTCCTAAGTCAAGGGGGGCTGCTGATCTTTGCTTTCCTGGGCATTCCTTTACATCACCCGGGACACCTACTGGAGAACTGGGGTGAGGAGAGGGAAGGAGGTGCCTCATGGCTGCTGTAGTACCTGGCTGTTGTCAGGCATGCCAGGGGCCCAAGGTTAAATAGCTACTCAAGCTGCTTTATGAGCTGCCCCAAGCTTAGAGGGTTGTGCAGACCTGCCCGGTGACTGGTTCACATTAGTGAGCCAGGCGTGCCCTGCCTGATGGTGCGTAAGTGCAGCTTCTGGGTTGATTGGCCACCTCCAGGGAGCCAAGTCTCGTGGCAGGGCTTATAGGCCACTGCTGGGCTTGCTGGGTCACCCAAGCTCCAATGACAGGACAAGCCAAGGAGTGATCAAGGGGTATGCTGCTCTGGCTGAACGGCCCCAAGCGAGGGCTCGTAATGCCTGCTCCAAAGTTCTGGAGCAACTCTCGGGCATGGGCTCCGTAGGTTCCCTTTGGCACTGTGGCTGCCAGCCAAGAGGGCCAGGAGCCATGGGAACCTGGGATGAGCCCCACGCTTCCTGGCCTCTTCTCTAGCAGAGGGCAGCTCAGCCGCCAGCCCCATCTGCTGCACCAGTGCTGCTCCCAGCAGGGAGGAATTGCTCATGAGCAAGGACCTTCCACTGGGATCAGCAATGGAGCTGGATCAAGGGCTTTCTTGGCTTACTTCTTTCCTCACTGGCTTTGAGGAGCAGGGAGGGGAACGGAAGCACAGATCCTGAGCTCCAAAGTGGGACCAATTTTCCAGTCTTGGATCTGGAAATTCAAACAATATTACGGCCATCGAGATTCTGTCACGGGACTAAAGGACTGGTCTGTAAGCAAGAAATAGGCAGGAATTAAGGGACTGCCACTTATTCTCCTGTTTTTGTATTTATTTCTTTTGTCTCATGCCTTGTTCATTTTGATTGCCCTCTTCTGCATTCCTGCTCACCATTCCTGTGCCAGCAGTGCCATCAGCTTCCCATCCATTTCTGCATTTTCTGCTGTAATCATGTTGGTTGTTTGAAGTGCTCCGAGTTCACCCAACCCTCCAACTCACCTTCTGCCTCCCTGATGATGGCTTGCCACTTTGCAACTCACTCTCAAGTGGCACGTTGGCTATCGAGGGCTGAAGCTCGTAACCAGCAGCACCCAGAGAGACATCAGCTGCCCATCTCTAAGCGAAGGGCAATGACCATACAGGCGATGCCTGCACCATGAAAGCAGGCAGTCACTTGATAGGTAAGGGTACAAGGTCACAAAGACACCTGACTTTTACACAAAATTGGCAAGTGTGCACAGACTAAAAGGGAACACTATTATGAAATTCCTTTGTCCTTGGTGAAGGGAAAGTGAGTCCTGGAAAACAGGCAACAGAAGCCTGGCTTTCAGGGGGGTGAAGAAAATGAAGTAGAGACCTGGGTAGAGACCTACCCTGCAGAGGATGGCAGGACGCGCTCCAACGGAGCCAAGCTCAAGGAACCCAGGTTCCATTTAGATGCCAGGAAGCACTTCCTGACAGTCAGGACCCCAAGGGTGTGGAATGGGCTTCCATGGGAGGTGGTTGAGGCCCCATCGGTGAGGGTGTTCAAGGATAGGCTAGACATGCACATGGTAGGCATGTCATGAGTGGAGCTGGCTGGAGCCGGGAGTCAGACTAGGTGGCCCTGGAGACCCCTTCTGACTTGCTCTGTTTCTATGTTTCTAAGTAATGAGAGCATTTTGAACCCCAGCTTGTTTTCCCTGGCTCCCCTAAGTGCTGGATAGTCCCACAGGCCTGTGTGTGTGTGTTCAGTCACAAAGTCATGTCATGTCATACAGGTCTGCAGGCTGTGACAAATATGCCTTTGCCCAGACAGGCTATGAGATGTTGTTTTCATATGGAGCTGGTTGTAGACTGAGGATGCAGAACTCACGCCTCATGCTCATGAAGAGCAAATGTAGTAGCAGCCATGGCATCGTGCCAGTCTTTCCAAACCAAGCAAGGAAAATGAGGTCTCTCTAAGAAGACTGAAATCTGTGAAAAGGGCTCCCCCTTAGCTTTGCTCATTTGCTTATGTTGGACTTAGTGCACCCAGGCCTTGCCACACTCAGCCCATGACAAGGGTGGGAGACTGAAAAAGTATCTTTATTCTTGAGAATAAGTTTGATTACAGCAAAATAGCAATTGCCCTCAAGAGCATGGCGGAGCCCCCTTTAATAACCTGTGTGACCAGGTAGCAAGGACAGTTGCTCATTGGGTTGAAATTCCCACCAGAATTGGCACACTTGAATCCGTGTGATCTCTGCACGCACCTGGGAGGCTGGCCTACCTTATGGCAGAAGTGGAGGTTTTTGGTGGTGATTCTCCGTAGTTGTGTGACTGTGCTGCAGGTTCTCTATTGCTGTGTTTATGATTGGGACATGACTTCCCAGCTTCTGCCTGTTACCCATCACAGCACCCCAAAACTCCCCCAAAGTGGTTAGCCTGAGGAAGGCCATACAGTAAGAACCCCGCAGCCATATTGTAGTTCCTGTCCACGAGAGAGTGGGGAGACAGAAGAGTGACGAACGCCGTGTGAGCTCCTGTGACAAGTCAGCAGAATCTCAAAAGAGGGCAAATGAGGAGAACTGCTGGAGCCTGAAACTGGTTTGGATCTCAATAAAAGTAGCAAAATGCATTATGAATTACAGAGGTGTAGAAACATAGGGCTGGTGCGAATGCTTGGAAGATTATTAGCAACCATACGAGAAGGAAATCCTTGGGAGAATAAAGGATTCCTTCTAGGAAATTAATTAATTAATTAATTAATTAAAACATTTTTATGCCGCCCCATTCGCCGAAGCCTCGGGGCGGCTTACAACAAATAACAAAAGGTGACAATTAACAATATGTGAATATATCTACCATGTATCTGGACATCATGCCTGTGACACAGAGTATATAATGTATGTTTTCTGTTCCTCTTACAAGACTCTGATTTCCCCCTCTGTCTCTGCTTATTCCAAAGTGCCCTAGAATAAAGCTGCGTTTGCTCTAAGTCTCAACTCAAGACTTTTTCCAACCCAAAATCATGTCTAAATAACATGATATCCTCTAGTCACTGGATTTCTAGCTGCAAAAACATGCCTATAAAAACAAGTGAATATCATAACGTATTAAAGATATGTCAGTAACAAGTAAATCCATTGTCTCAGAAGAGTCTTGCTTTGGCTCTATTCCTGGCAAGGTCTTTCATTTCAGAAAATCTTTCCTGGTTTTGTGTCTGTTACTGTTCATATCATTAAAGCCTTGTTAAGCCTCTCAATTTATGGTGTTTTGAGAACGCCCACGCCCAGGGTCAGCTCTCCAGTGCTCTGCATCTCCAAGATTTGCCACTGGGCATTCTAGCTATACAACTTTTGTTTTTCCATCAGTAAATTCTGATGAGTCTATTTGCCTGGGTCTCCTTTTCCTGTACCCTCAGGGCTTTTCTAGGTATTTATTGTGATTGTGACTTAGAGAAATTTCTGGGGCCTTTTCATGCGGTCATCACCTTCCAAAACCAGGGAGCTTTGTGGCTGGCTCATGGGGACTAGAAACATGGCCCACTTCTATCATCACCATCAGATGGGAAGTGGGCAGGATCTACACTGAGCCCGTGTAAGCTGGATGTCCCACCAGTAGCACATCCCTGCTGAGTGCACACTGTGGCAGCGTCTTTTTCTTGCTGATCTTGCTTCATCATCAATTCTCTTTGTTTTACCCAGGGACACACTTCTTCCCTTGAGTTCTTCCTCATTGCTGACAGAAACCTAGAAGCAGACAGCAGATGCGACAGCAAAAACAGGCAATAACTCAGCGTTAGAGCAGTGTAGAGGCTGAAAAGCCAAGCTGACCAAGGGACTCCAGCAGGAACAGAAAGGAAGGGATTCTCTTCCAAGGCCACAAATAAAATGAGTTCATTTATAAGGCAAGTATTAGTATTCACATTAGCATTTACTTTATTTCTATTCCACCCAACAGCCAAAGCTCTGGGCAGTTTATAACAATTCATGAAATGTAGTTCAAAATGCAAATAATGAACATCATTAGATTTCACTGCAGAAATTTAAAAGCTCATGATTAATACAAGGTAATACAAACAGCTGATGTGATTCTACCCTCCATGTGCTGTTCAGAGCTGTTAAATGATTTGATGGCACAGAGAGCAGTTTTAACCTGGTGCCAAAAGGACAGTAAAATGGGGAGCTTGTTTCATAGCTGTGGACTTCCATTGAGAAGGCCCCGCTCCTCCCTGCCAGCAACCTAACCTCCCTGGAGGTAGCAGTCAGAGGAAGGCCCCACACAGTGAGCAGGCATGTGGTGTTTCGCCAGGTCTTCCTTCTGTGCTGTTGGGAAAATTTGGATAAATCCTATCTGAAAAGCATTACTTCTGTGTGCTTTTTTGCATTGTGGGATCAAATCCTATCTTCCTTCTCAAAACCAAGCAGTCACTGTTTAAAATGGCATTCCCCACTCCTTTCTCTCACCTTTAGCTGTGGGCTACAGTAGACAGGCCATTCAGTCCAAATATACATTGTAAATAGTCATTGTTGGAGTTCAGTTTACAAGGAAGTATCTTTTGATAGCCCAGAGGCTCCATGTGCCCTGGCCAATTCAGAATGTCTAGAGTCTAGATAAGAGTCTTGAGCTTATCATGCATAGTTTCTCAGTAGCTTGAATTTACATGTCTAAGCAGACCTAGAGATGGGTTCAAGCTACTGAGCTAAAGTGTCAATACAGGCAATTAGAAATATTGTAATCTCATTGTCACTGTATGATTGACTGACATTCCTTTATCTGTTCTGTATGTGATGACCTCAGAATCTTATTGTAATCTCTGCATTCTGTCATCAGTTGCCCTGTACCTGTATGTGACTGGGAGTGTATAAAAACTCTCTAGTTGTGTTGAAGTTTTGCAGCAGAGTTCATCTCTGCCTGCCCGGTAATGCATGCATTATCGTGAGAGTACTGCGGGAACCTTGGGGTAAATACAATAAAGCCTCAGATGGTCTGGACACTTGGTCTTTCCCACGAACCTGAGTTTTATTCCCTCTTCTCAAATTGAGATTCTGGGATTCTGACATGATATGCTTCTAATTCTTGAATGTGTAACAACACTTAGATTTAAAAGAAATTAGAACATTTCTTAATGCAAACAGAGTTTATTTATATTTTTCATGCATGACTGTGACCTAGCATGTTCTTAAGAAGCATAGAATGATGCAAAATGGTTCAAAGGTTTTTTAACCACATTCTGTTTGTGTTTACATTTTTAGAGTTTTATCTGTTTGAGTTTTTATGTTCTATGTCAGTAACTGAACAAACAAAAGCATTCCTGATTTCCTTAAAGTTTATTTATTTATAGTTATATCCTGCTTTTTTCCCCTGCAAAAATCCAAGGCAATTTACCCAAACCTTCTTCTCCTCTCCATTTTATCCTCACAACAACCCTGTGAGGTAGGTGAGGCTCAGTCTGCAGCTGGTCCAAAGTCACCCACTGAATTTCATGGTTGAGTGAGGACTAGAAGCTGGATCTGCTGAATTCCAGGCCAACACCCTAATTATGAACAATCTGAACATAAGCAACCCCCCCCCCCCACTTACGCAGTGCCTGACATCTGAGATATCACTGCCCACGGAAGTCCAACACATGTAGTATTTTCAAGAGGAGAAATCAGAGGTTGAACATTGGATCTCCTCTACACAAGGCAAGAATTTGGCCACTGAGACTCTTCCAAGGAGAAAGCAGCTACCCAACTAGCACCAAATCACCATCACGCCATGTATGGAGCTATGCAAAATTCAAGGGGTGAAAAGTTCTCATGGAAAGAGGATGCAAAACAACCCACTCAGTGGCAAGATAGAAAACAGGAAAAAATGAGATTGTAAAGAAGCTGGGTTACATAATAATTGCTGAAAACATAGCTGTTGATGATGATGATTCCTACTGCTACTGTTAGCATTAGGATCTTATGACCATGATGGAGAGATAAGGTACAGGTCTAATATTGTGGTCCAACTGCCCTCTAATAGAAGAAGTGTGAACTCATGCATTATTCCCTTCCCTTTTCATTTGGTCTTGCTCATATAAAAATCGATGCATTGTTCCACCATTCAGGAATACCTGCATGAAGCCACACAACCAAGAATGGGGCTGTTCACATGATGCCACAGCCCATCACAGGTTATTCAATTCACAGTGAGGGTGCAGGCCATATGTGTCGGCCATTTTGAATATGCCAAGTCATGGTCTGTTCTAAGGTTATGCAAGAGAAGTTTGACTGTTGCATAACACACACTCACCGGGCTCACAAAACACAACAGTCACCAACTGGATGCCCACTGACCCTGCAGTTTGTTGTGAGTTAAATAACCTACAGCAAACCATATCATGTTGTCCAAACCCAGATAATGCATGAGTGCATCTAAACTGTTTCCAGATATGATTTTTTTAAACATATGCATTATTTTTTACCACAACTATTTGCACAGCACTTGAAACAAGATCTTTTGCATTCTACATTTGAAAGTTCCTGTATTGCTCTTCACATCTTTCTCCAAAATAGATAGCACAGCATATTCTTGGGATTTCTGCAAAAGATTCCAAATTCAGAGGGTTTGAGTCACTCTGTATCTTCTCTCAGTTTTGTTGCAGAATTAAGATCCAAACCCCCCACCAAGAGTATTTTCTTTCCTGCTTTTCCATTACATAACCCCTGGGTAGCACTGTGGTACTGTGGAAAAGAGAAATTACCTAAGTAAAAAAAAAAAGATTTTTTTTCACTTTTATAGTGTTTTCTTTCATTCATCATTTCCTATTCACAGATGTGTGTGCATTGTTTAGCCAACTTGGTGACCTTCCAGTTTTGCTTTTGTTTTTAAACTATTTTGATGAGATTTTTACAAGGAGGGAAAGGTGAAGGAACTTGCCTGCTATTCTACCTAGAATTACCCCACCTAGGGGTTATGTAGTGAATAAACAAGAAAGGAAAGATAATATAGCACTCTCATCTGAATTTTACAACAAAACTGATAAGTAGATGGAGCTGATCTACTTCATTAAGAAAAGCTCCTGATAAACTACTGGAATGAGTTGTAGATAAACTCCCACATCCTCACACTGTGATTCTGATCCTCTCCTCCTCAACATCTCTTATTTTGAAAGTTGATTCTGGTAATTTTTTTTCTTTTTTAAAAGACTAGGTTAAAAGTACTGAGAGTTTTAGTAGGATATCTAGTTAGGCCCTTTGTTGCTTTCCCCAAAGAGACGGACTAGAGAACAGGCCTCCACTGCCACTCCATTTTAATCCTAGTCTTAAAAAGTCTTAAAACAACATCCAGAAACCTTTTTGTGTTACAACCGTATGTGGAATCCAACAACAGTTATTCCCATGGACCAGTCTCCCACGTGGTACTCCTAATATTTAGAGGCCATTTTCCATGCCTTTCAAGTAACAGTGCAGAGGTTGAGTTAGGCCCTAGGTAGGCCCTTGCTGTTATTAGTTAGGCCCTTTGCTGCTTTTCCCAAAGAGACGGACTAGAGAACAGGCCTCCACTGCCACTCCACTTTAATCCTAGTCTGTTGAAATACAAGTTTGTCGAGCTCAGCAGCTCAGGGAGGACAGCCTCTGTTGACTGACCTTGAGTTCCCTCAGCAAACATGCCAGTGCTGTTTCCTCACAGCGCTTCCATTGCAGGCCTAGTCCCGTATTCCAGGAACCCTCCGGCAGTGCTCTGCCCCCTTCTCCCAGCTCCGCTGCTGTGACTGCATCCCGTGGAATGCAGGAATTAATTCCCTCTTTCCACATCTCTTCAGTTCCCCCTTTAGAGGCTGTGCTGTCCTCCACTGTACTGGGGGAACACTGGAGCAGACATTCATGACCTCCCTTATAAAACAGCACTGACAATGGCAATGCCCTGCCATCATCTCATGACTCTCTTCATCCCCTTAAAACATAAAATAATAATAACATCACTGTCAGCATTTTATACACTCCCTTCTCTCAGATTATCCTACTGGAGGAATCCTGCTCATGGGGCAAGATGACATGCCACCCAAACAAGTTGCCAACAGTAGAGGAGCAGGAGAAAGAAAGGGGGAGGAAGGACAATGAAAGTCAGTGGAAAGGGTGTCACTTGTTTTATTTTATTTTGATTAATGTTGTAAGCCGTCCAGAGATGGAAGTAACACATGGCATAAACATTTTAAAACAAAAAACTTGTTACATCTCTAACTCCCTAGGCATGTTGATGGGGAAATAAGTTCCGTTGTACCAAACGGGGCTTGCTGCCTAGTGTTCGGAAAGTCCAAATAAATCCTCAGAGAAAAAGATATGCTTTTCCATGTCTTGGCAGCTTTCACTGCCAGCTTTCAGTTAAGGCATGGTCAGAAGCTGAAAGGAAGGTGAAAGTTGAAGTGAAGCTATGGGACACTTGCATTGTGAAAAATGTGCTTTGTCTTAAGGAATTCTATAGCTCTGCTTGCAAAAACTACAACATTTTGTACCTGTTAGATTTCTGTAAGTCCTGATTGTATTATTTGTTAAAATGTTTTAATAAATAATAAATAAAATAAAATTGTGGCAAGTTCTTAAAGACATGGGAGTTTCAGACCATCTTATTTGTCTTGTGAGAAACCTATATGCGGGTCAAGAAGCAACAGTGAGAACTGGACACGGAACCAGTGATTGGTTCAAAATTGAGAAAGGAGTTCAGCAAGGCTGTATACTGTCGCCCTGTCTATTTAACTTATATGCAGAGCACATCATGAGAAAGGCTGGGCTAGATGAATCACCAGTTGGAATTAAGATTGCTGGGAGAAATATCAACAACCTCAGATATGCAGATGATGCCACTCTCATGGCAGAAAGTGAAGAGGAACTAAAGAGCCTCTTGATGTGGGTGGAGGAGGAGAGCGCAAAAGTTGGCTTGAAACTCAACACTAAGAAAACTAAGATCATGGCATCTGGTCCTCTCACTTTCTGGCAAATAGATGGGGAAGAAATGGAGGTAGTGACAGATTTTATTTTTCTTTATGCACAGGCCTGAACCCAGAAGCGACGGTGGAGAACCCGAGGCCCTAGAGGCCCTCTTGAAGTGAGGAAAACATCATGAGCCATGCCGCACATTCCCCTTTTTTCTCCTTTCTCTCCCCTTCTCTCTCATCCAAATCAAAGGAAGCATAATGATTATCAGCACATGCGGTGAGCCACGTTGGACACAAAAGATCGGTCTTCATTTTCTCGTTGCTGCACACATCTGATTTTTTCCCCCCTTTCTGTGTGTTGCATCGTGAGGGTGGCTCAACTGAGTGATGTCCTGGCTGGGTGGGTTGGGGTACAGGGCCACTCGGGAGGAGGACAAGATGCCAGGCGTGAGGGGTCCCCACTCGCACTTCTGATGGCCTGTCTCCAGGAACTACGGGTGGCTGCAGTGTTCTCAGGGCAGTGGATGGCGCAACCCGTCTGGGGAAGTCTTCACAGCCACCTAACAGCCAGTGCAAGCAGGTCGCTGGGGACAGAATGAGTACGTCCAGCAGCCTTTTGTGGACCAAGACCAGCATTTCCTCTGACTCAGTGCTGCGTACTCCCAGAGCCTTTGGATCGGCAAGTAAATTAAAATAAAATTACGAGGCAGAAATTAAATGAAATGTTTTGGAGCCAATTTATGTGCTTGGGTTACAGGAAAAGTGCTGAAATGCTGTATCGGCAGGGTGATGGCTTGAAATGTCATTCTTTGCCAGTCACAAAACAACAGCAGGTTATCGCAATGAGGGTTGTGAATGTGACAACTGTGAGACGCGCACAGCCCAATCTCTGCTGCTTGTTACTGTGAGCTGTTGCACCACATGGGCCCTCCAGTCACTCAGCCTCCCCTTCTCCAGGACCTGCTCAGCCAGCAGTACTGAGGAAGGAGTAGCAGGGATACAACAGGTTGGGGACGGCATGGTGTGCTCCCTCCTTGAGCCAGACGTTGCCACGCAGGCCAGAGGTGGCAGTATAACTTGCCCCAAGTTTCTTCTTCCAGGCTGTATTGGACAGGACACACCAAGTGAGTTTCTAATCTAGCAACGGGCCTGTGGCAGCTGAACTGTCACTTGATGCTGAACTGGAATTGGCTGCCATGGGAAGTGGTGATGTCACCCATTTGGATGGCTTTCAAAGGGGACTGGTCACATTCCTGGAGGAGAAGGAGACTCTCAGTGGCTCCTATCCCTGCTGTTTCTGTGCTACCTCCTTCACCACACGGGGCCTGCTGGTATAACCAGTTGCTGAGGAGCTGGGCAGGAGGAGGTCTTGCCCCATCCCACGTGGAAGATCCTGTGGGCAGCTGGCTCACCACCGTGTGTACGGAGTGCAGGACTGGATGGACCTTTGGTCTGATCCAGCAGGGATGTTCTCATGTTCTTGACTGATACTTTGCTAATGCATAATTTAAAGTTCTTTCATGACAGCTTGTTTATTCAAAGAAGTACAAGAAATGTTCATTGGATTCTTCAGTAATTTATGGATGCAATTGCATAGCAGCATCCTGACTTCAGCAAAGTTCAGAAGCTCATGAACGCAAAGCCTAAATCTCTCTCACACCACGCAGTGCCTCTGCAGGCAGTGGATTCTCATCATGGAGCATGGACATCTCTCCAGGAGAGCTGGTTTTTGGTAGGCCCTCTGAAGTGTCTTGACCTGCTCTTGAGAAAGGAGTAAAGACATGTGATTAATAGAGTACAGCCCAAGGGGGCTGCACTAGGTGGCCTGGGAGGCCCCTTCCGACTTGCTCTGTTTCCAGGTGCCTCAAGTAAAGAACTGTCACTTTGCCACAGACTGCAGGAGAAAACCACTCCGTGGTATGTGACAGCCCCAAAATGGTTAGTACCAGCTTGTCTGTCTAGCTATAGGCACCATTTAGCACCCTGCAACACCTACAAAGCTCCAACAGCGGCAAATCTGGCTTGCAGTTTACAGGTCATAGCAGCCCGTAGCTGTTACGGAGTGTCATTTTATGGAGTCTCTAGAATGCGGGAATAGAACTAAACATCAGGCAAAGTGACAGACTTGTTCACTATTAGTCAAACTTGTGCGTCCTTTTTTCACAGCAACAACACACTGAGGGAATACATAACCATTTTTAAAACAGCAGTATATACCCATCAGATTTATACTCGGTAAGATAAACATCCGAATTGTGTATCCACTGGAAATACTTGAAAGGCTGCATTATGGACATGTGTCTTGAAAGCCCTTTCCTGAAGGCAAGGAACTACAGCCCGGTCAGAATGGTGCAGGGGCCGCAATGCCATCTGGGAGCCAGTTTTGTGAATCAAATTGAATCAAGCCAAGCCAAGCCAAATTGCTACGGCAGTTCTGCTGACCTTTTGTGGGGATCCTCTTTAATCACTGTTCTCCTTGCCTGATGAATCAGAAGCTTCTCCAGATGTGTCTGAGGAAGGAAGCAGGCAAGCAAGCAAGCAAAAGGTTGATGATGGTACTCCTCATTCCCACGGAAATTATCAGCATCATCTTTAAATCTAGAAGATGGCTTTTGGGGAAGACAGGCTTACCAACAAGTTTACCAATTTCACTGCCATGACTTCCCCATCCCTGCAAGGAATTCTAGGAGGACTATCTTAATGAGGGTGCCGTCTTCCTACCATGACCATCCACACACACACACACAGGACAGAAGTAATTCGCTAACATGAGTCATTTCTTGTGCATTTTCACAATGTCACGATATTATCAAGAACGCAGCCTTTCACAGTCAATTCTTCCTTATCCCACCTCACCCCCACCACTCTTTTGTAGCAAAAAGGTACTTCTGTGCATGCCCCAGTTATCTGAGCAGTGGGAGTTTCAAATGAAGTTCTGCATGCTGAGAGCTGTTTGGGCCAGAGGCCAAGCCGCAAAGGACCTTCTGTGCGTCTGCATTTGCCCAGAGGGGGGAAGGTTTCTGGGGACACAGCCACAGGGCCACAAGAGTGGCAGCAAGGAGGCGATCGGCTAACACTCCTCCTGTACGAGCGAACTATTGCAGAAGGAGCTGGTGAGCGGAAGGCTGACTGGTCTGCTGGGACAGTGCCAGGCGCAGAGGCCTCGTTGTTTCGCCAGGACCTGGCGCATGCTTCCACTGGGAGGGCTGGGGTGCCACATGTGCTAACCAGATGACTACCTCAGGAAGATTAAAATTTTAACCTGGGATCCCGGACTGACTTTATGGACTCCTTTGATAGCATTGTGGAAGCCTAGTCCACATACACTGTGTGCCTTGAGTGGGAGTTTGCACCCCATGGGGTCCCACAGCAAAAGAGAGTGCCTCTGTTGCTGACATTCCCTGGGGGAGGAGGTCAGGCATGGCGCTTGCTCCACAGGGTTGAGCTACACGAACACAACAGTAGCACTCCTCTTCAGCCTCGGAGGTGGTGCTTCCTGTGCGAACCAAGTCAGGAGAAGCATTTATTTCATGCCAGCCGAACACTCTCTGTATGGAAACAGCTGAACTCACTTGACTTGCCCACGTGCTGTTTGAGGGAGTCACAGTGCTGGAAAGGGGATAACTCGGTCACGTTGGAGGACTCTGTGCGAAGGTAGAAGAGGTTCTGCTGGGTGGGGTTATAGAGCGACCATTCCTCCCCGCTGGCTCCTGACCCCGTTGGGCTCCTACGAAGGGAGGAAAAATGTCCTTGTAATCAAGCAGGGAGCATATTTGCACATGATCTAGGTAAGGCATGGAGTCTATAAGTCCCTTCTGGTCCCTAATGGAGTCCCTTATTGTTACTTGAAAATGTATGGCCCGCCACATGGCTTGCCTGGAGCCTCAGGGAGGACGACCCTATCACAGCAAGGTCAGCGTCAGAGGTGAATTCCCACTAGCACTTCCTAGGCTTGTACTCAGTTCTTCTGCCTCACATCCCTCCACCCACAGCGGTCCGTCAGGTGGTCCACACAGCATCCCATATTTACTCAGAAGGAAGAGGGGCTTTGTGTTAAAGGAGGGTTTTGCACAGGAAGTTACAGTTGCAATCAAAAGCTGCAAAACTATGCATGCCTAAGGTAAAGGTAAGGGGCGCTAGTCGTGTCTGTCTCTTGGGCTGGTGCTCATCTCCATTTGTAAGCCAAAAGGCCAGCATTGTCCGAAGATGCTTCCGTGGCCCTGCGGCCAGCACGACTAAACACCGAGGCACGTGGAATGCTGTTATGTTTCCCACTGAAACGATGCCTACTTATCTCCTGGCATTTGGGTGCTTTTGAATTACTAGGTGGGCAGGAGTTGGGGCACAGCAGCGAGCAGTCACCCAGTTGCATGGATTCGAACTGCCAGCCTCCCAATCCACAGCCCAGGGGATCACCCGCTGCTCCACCTGTGTCCCATACATGCCTATTCACAGGGAAAATCCATTCTGTTCTACAGGACTGACTCCTGGAATTCGCTGGTATCAGTCTGCAGCCTGAAAATCAGAGGAATCATGGAGGCAGTCGGCAATCCCAGCCACACCTACCAGAAAGGAAGCCCCATGGAACCTAACGGGAATTACTTCCAAGTAAGCATGCCTACGCATTCAGCTCACAACATCCACTGCAAACCACTGAAATCTGCCCAAGAGCAGGCCAAGTGATTTCATTTCCGGCTAGTTGGTAACCTGAGATTGGATGGCTCTGCCAGCAAGATGCAGAGGGGTCTTTCTGCAAGCAAAAGGCGGGATTCTTCTCCTTTGGACCAGGTGAGAAACCAGAGCCCCAAAATCCGGGAATGTGCTTCTGTTTCCACAACAAGCTGCATGATCTCATCCCTAAACTCACAGCCACTTCCACCTTCCCCGTGCACTGCAATGTGTGGAACAGCACCATTTTTAGAGTGCCGTCTTCTCGTGCATTTCTGAGCGAAACCTCTGTCTCTAACAAGCCACAAACCTGCAGACAAACTGTTGGAGGCCTCAAATCGGCTTTAGATGAAATAGATGGAACTTCATGACTGATGGTTTTGACAGAACAAAGAGCCTGTTTCCTTTTTCTAGGTATAGTTCATTGCAACATTTTATCATATCTACTGAATTTTATACATTGATGAAACTTTTGACCATTTTCCAGTGAACAATGACATACTTTAGGGAAACAATACAAAGAAAATTAAGCAAAATATACAATAACATATTCACTAGTCAGCTGTAGTAATTTTGCTATGTCTGTAGAGTGGATGCCCTGGCCTCATATACAAAACAAAATTCTACATTAAACAAGCTCCATCAGTAGTTTGAGAGGGAAAAAAGGGCCTTACCCACTCCTGGAGAACTCTGCCCAATACCGCATCATGCGTCTGCTCAGAGCTGCCTCGGCCTGCGTGTATGTTTGGTTGACGTCCAACACTGACTCAAGGGTCCCAAACACATAAGGGAGGTCAGCACCATGATGTGCCCCGAACCACTCGGGCCAAAAAGAGCCAGAGGTATAATGTTTGAAGACATAGAAGTACACAGGGCTCCCAGCTTCTCTCAACTTACTAGTGAATTCGGCTGCTGGGCATATAATGTAGTAATCACTGAAAAACCGCACCAGAGCCTGGCGATATGGTACTGGCTCCGGGCCTTCTTTGCTGTACATCAGTGTCAGAGCCTGAACAACTTCCTGAGTCACGTTTATCTGTATCCCCTTTATTCCTTCCTGAAATTGTTCCTCAGTCATTTGGTTGTGAATGGTGTCAGGGAAAACAAATGGCACAAAGGTAGACGCTTCATTAGAGGTGACGCCAATGAGAATGGGTTTGACCTGAATGTGCCCATCCTGCAGAAGCTCTTCTGGATCATCCGGTAGAAAGTCCCCATCTGTTGTTGGAACAAAGGGAAAGTCCAGAAAGAAGCTGCTATTTTGAAACAATGACATCTCATGGGGAGCAAGCTCCTTGGCATCTTTCTCCTGTAGGCAGCTCACCACAGCACTGGCGTTGCCTTCTGCACAGCCCAGCAGCTGACTGAGGGCGAGGGCTTTCTGCCGGGCCTCTTCAGGACTCTTCCAAGCCCAGACAGCAGTAGGATCTCCGCTCTGCAGGATGGCTTGGGCAAAAAGGGGCTGGCTACTTGGGGAGAGGAGATGGAAACCCACAGAGGCTGCTCCAGCACTGCTACCGGAAATAGTCACCTGAGAGGGGTCTCCCCCAAAGGCAGCTGCATTCTCCTTCACCCAGTTCAGTGCCAGCTGCTGGTCCAAGAGGCCCATGTTTCCTGGAGCAGCTGGTGGTAATGACAGGAAGCCCAGGGCCCCCAGGCGATAATTCGTAGAGACCACAATGACCTTCTCCTGGGAGGCTAAGCCTGCCCCATTCAACACATCCAGGGATGACGTGCCAGCAAAAAATGCTCCTCCGTGTATCCAGACAAGGACAGGCACTGGTGAAGAGGGCCGTGGGTGGGGCGCCCAGACATTGAGAAAGAGACAGTCTTCTGAGAGGGGCCGATTGGGAGCCCACATTTGTGCATCAGAGGTGTTAGAAATGATAAACTGGATACAAGCATTGCCAAAGTCCGTGGCCTCCAAGACCTGACTCCACGGCTGATGTGGGTGAGGCTTCTGGAAACGTAATTTCCCCACGGGGGGCTCAGCATAAGGGATGCCCAGGTAGGCAGTCACAGAGCCAGGGCCAGCTGGGAGATGCTTGCCTTTGATTGGACCATAGCTGGTGACCACTACAGCGTCATCTTCACAGATTACAGGAGGAGCCCATGAAAACAGGAGGAGGAGGTGGAAGCACAGAACTGAGGAGGGGTGGAAACCAGGCATGGCAGAAGCTGGGAAGCAAAACCCCTAAATTATGTTACAGTAAATTCGCAATGAGTTTTTTCATTCAAGGAAGGCATGTTCTTTTCTGGTTAGAATGCGTATTTTCACTCAGGATCCCACTCCTGAGCCCTCTTCACATGAAGCCCTTCGCTCCGCTACATCTCCAAGCCTCCATGACAGCAACACCTTATTCACCTCAGACCCCCTCTCAGGGCCATCTTAACAGCATTATGGGACCCAGGCAAAGGAGTGTCCTGGGGCCTCTACGACAGCTACAACTACTGTTAACTTTGGAAGTTTTCCAATTTTCCAAGGGTTAACATACACAGATTAGTATGGGGCCCAGGGGCAAGTGCCCATCAGGCCCATGCGTTAGGATGGCCCTGCCCCCTCTGGCAACGTGCTGAGAAAGCCACTTCCTCAACTCGCCCCTTTCTGCCACTGTCCCCTTACAACCCAGGGCCCCCAGCTATGGATACAGCTCTGGTGGGAGTGTAAGGTGCCTCCACTAAGGCATTCCTGTAGCTCACTTCTCCATGGCCCGAGTTCAATGATTTTACATAGGTTGGATCCTTCACTCTGCTCCCACCCAACATATTCCTGGTCTTCCTGTGATAAAGTACGAACAAAGCTCCTTGGAAGAGAAACTGTGTGCCATTTGCCTAGTGGCCTCAATTGGCCTTCCCTCTGGACCTGGTGGGGCATCATTGGACTAATACTGTTAGGTCTGCCTGCACCCAGCTCTGTTTGAGCCCCAGGCACCAAAATCTGAAGCAGCCGGGATCGCAGTGACTGCTTGCCCCTCTCTGGGACTGTTTACCTTGGCATTTGAGCGGCAAATGCCACCCACCCTTCTTCCCCCTCAACCTCTGAAGGCTCACTTATGGCACGAGTGGGCCCAGTTCCTACAGTCAAGCCCTCCTTTGGTTCCTCCCGCTTGTTTTCACTGCCATGTTCATAATCCAGGGTGGCAGGTTTTATGGGCGCCTGCTATTATGGTAGAACTGAACACTTGTAGCCTTTTTATCTGCCTATTTTTGTATTGTTATATCTTCTGTCATTGTTACGTGCCAACAATCATCTCTGACTTGCAGAGGCCCTATGAATGAAGGCCCTTCAAAATGTCCCTTCAGCCTCACCTATCTCACAGGGTTGTTGTTGTGGGGATGGAATGGAGTGGAGCGGAGGATTATGTAAGCCGCCTTGAGTTTGCTGCAGGAAAAGGGGTGGAAGAGAAGTACAAGGAATGAATGAATGATACGAACTGCCCTGTGCATAACATCCCTGATTAGCTGTTCCAAATTCAAGGCTGCATCTTGTGCAGTCATTCCATCTCTTATGTGGTTTGCCTTCTGTTCAGCTCCCTTCAACTTTCCCCGGCTTGAATGCCTCCCGCAGTGAGTCTTGTCTTCTCCTGATGTGCCCAAAGCGCGACAGCCACAGCGTAGTCATTTTCTGACTTGATTTGACCTGGGACCCATTTGTTCATCTTTCGCAAAGCTATCCTCCAGCACCATGTTTCAAACGTATACGGTTTTTCGCTCTGCATTAGTCCCCTTCCTACATCATATCCCCTTTCTATTCTGCATTAGGAGGTTGTAAAGGTTGCTTAAAATATTGTGGTTGTTACAAATTTTTATTACTCATAGCCAAGTTCTCTGGGCAGTTTCCAACAATAATCATAGTGTCATCCACTCAAGTCACCCATTCAAATTCTAACCAGGCCTGACCCGGCTTAGCTTCCAAGATTAGGCAAGATCGGGCACTTCAGGCTATACGGAAAATAAGTGAAGTGGTGATCGTTTACTAATTCTTAGTCTCTGCATATTTGTATACTGTTTTATTTTCTGCACTGGAGGTGATCAGGGAGAAAGTATTGCCGGGGGATGTCCCTCCTTTCAAAGCAGGCAGAGCTGAAAACGAGAAGGGGAGGAGCATACACTCACGGTGTTGTGCTGTACCTGGAGGCCAATGGATGGCACTGACTGCTGCCGCCTCCAAGGGGCAGTCCTGGGATTGCGCACTGGATCTCCAGGCTGGAGGGCCTGGCTGCTGCTGCTCCCCAGGGCGCTGCCTGAAAAGGGGGCTCACTTTGCCTAAGGACTGGCTGGCTCTCTGTGGCACATGATGAACTTGCCCATATATGGCAAGGGTGTACTTTCTTCCACCATAATACTCGAGCAGGAGGAGGCTGCTCCCCTGACAACAGAAGAGCCCCACCTTTGACTCAGCCTTCCGATTTCCATTGCTTTAAGCAAGGTATTGTATCATCATCATCAAGATTAGTTTGAAAAGAGGGAGTCTCCTATTTGGAGCTATTTCAAATTGTTTTAAGTGATTGTACCGTTAAATGTGACCAGTGGCCTTGAAGGCTCCCACATATCTTTTAGAAAGGCATCAAGCCACTAATTACTAATGCTAATAATACTACAGTCAAGGTATCTTTGCTCAGAATTTAGCTCCACTGTATTCCATAGGACTTATTCTCCTCTACATGTGTTTAGGAATGCAGTTCAATAACAATCCTATAGGTGTTTGCTCAGGTGAAAGTCCCATTGAGTTAAGTGAGGCTTCCTACTAGATAAGCCTCACTTAGGACATAGGAGTGCAGGTTTAATCACACACCTGAACCCAGAAACAACGCTGGATGACTAGGCCTTGAATCATTCCACCTCTTCACCCCTCCAGCTTCCTGGGGAACAGGTACATGAAAACCAAGGAGCACCGATCCTGGGGAATGTAATGAGGGGGCAAACACTGACCCTATAGCAATACCCGACAGTTCTAAAAGGCAGATCATTGCCTGCATCTCAGGCACTGCTGTCCTGCAAGTGTAGGAGTCTGCATCCATTGACCTTTCTGTGGGAGACCCAGGAGGGCAGTAGTGCTAATGGGCCAGGAAGCCAAGTGGTCGGCATCAGAGACTTTTTGGCTCCAGGATTCATAGCCCAATCCAAAACAATCACTCTTCCATTCTCCAAGATTAGTGGACTTTCTCGGTTGTGCAGGGACTCACCTTTTCGATGGGCTTTTGCCACTCGGTTAATATCCCTTACAGCTCAGTCCATATGGGGAAATTGGTGGCAGATGTGCTCTCGGCAGTGCTTCCAAGGAACTGGGGTGAGAGTGACGATATGCGCTCACTGTTAAAAAGAGCAACGACCCCACCTGAACTCTGTCTGTGCCGGAGAAGGCTATGCATACTGGCCAGGTGGAAGTCCACATCAAGGGTCAAAGAGATGATGAAGAACAGAAATCCTGGTAGGACCTCAGGAAAGAGGGAGCCATGATCATGAGCCTGTGAGTTAGATGTTGGAGGACCAAAGTGAAATGGACATGTAGATTGGTCCTAGGTTTTTTCCTCAAGTTGCATATGATATTCTTGTAGTATGAAATGTATTTTTTCACATAGCAATAGAACTATAGCAAGTAGCTGGAGCAATGGAGAATGAAGTAATACTTTATCAATCCTTTACTTCAATATATTTCATTACATCCTAGTTCCCCAAGAATTTCAAGAAATATTTAAGAATATTAGATCCTTTCCCCCAGGTTTATTTTAGAGGCACCTGGGACATCCTTCTCAAGGAGTGGAATTGTTCCCTTCCTGTGAGTTCCACAGCAGGAACCGAGAACATGGAGACACAGAAATGATGGATTTTTGTTATGTTCTTAGTGAGCTGGACCGGACCCCCCGCCGCAACACCTGCCGCGCTACCGCTGCAACTCCTGCCGCGCTGCCGCCACTGCCAAGGCCCACGGTGACCTGAGGCATGCCACCGACCCCAGGGACAGCTGATGTTGCTCCCGTGGGCACCGCTGACCACTTCGGGGAAGCAGGACGCCAGGGCCACCGACCGACGTCGCGGAGAACTTCCGCGTCCGTCTCTGCTCACTCCCCGCCGGCATTGGTGAGAGCAACGCCAGATTGGGGGGCGGGACATGCGGGCAGGCGCTGGCTTAACCCGCTGGAAGCAGCCTGGGGCCGGTGGCTGAAGGGCGGTCACCTCCGTTTGTGGCTGTTCATGGCCGTGAGGGGCCTGGGCTGGTGAGGGACTCTGTCAGTGGGTGGAATTTTTATTGGAGTAGTAGATGGGGGAGTTTTACATTGTTTTAATATTTTTATTGTATTTTAATCTGGTTTTATGGAGTTGTCCCTGGCCACGTCGACAGTTGAGTTACCTGGGGAGCGCGTGGGCGCCACCATTGGGGTGGTCACGGGCAATGGACGTTACAGCGGTGGGGGTTTAACGTGTCTGCTTAGAAGAAGGAGGGACAGATGGCTGACACCTGTCCCTCCTTCTGGTTCTACCTCCAGCCAGAGGGTTCCAAGTAGTCTTGTCAACCGCCCCCCAGGCATGACAATGCTGTTGCTTAATGCCAGGTCAGTCCACAATAAATCATCCCTCATCCACGACCTGATTGTGGATGAGGGGGCCGACCTGGTTTGCATAACAGAGACCTGGGCGGGAGGGGGGGGATGTCACCCTCTCTCAAATGTGCCCACCCGGGTATCTGGTTCAGCACCATCCACGCCTGGAGGGGAGGGGGGGTTGCTTTGGTTTACCGAGCCTCCATCTCTCTTGCGGGGCTTCCAGTCCCTTCGAGGCCAGGACTAGAGTGCCTCTACTTGGTGTTGGGTGACTGAGACAGATTGGGGATTCTGTTGGTGTACCGTGCACCCTTCTGCCCAACAGTCTCCCTGCCTGAGCTGACGGAGATCGTCTCGGACCTGGTGTTGAGGACCCCCAGGATGTTGGTCCTGGGGGACTTCAATCTCCATGCCGAGACTGGTCTGACCGGGGCAGCTCAGGACTTCATGGCCTTCATGACCGCCATGGGGCTGTCTCAACATGTCACAGACCCGACCCATGAACATGGACACACTCTGGACCTGGTTTTCTTGACAGGGCAGGAAGAGGGTGGTCTGAGGGTGAGGAATTTATGTCTGACACCCCTGTCATGGTCAGATCACTTCCTCATGAGGTTTGTGCTCGAGAGAGGCCACACACTCTGTAAGGGTGTGGACCCGATTGTGTGGGTCTGCCCCCGGAGTCAGATGGATCCGGATGGATTCCTGAAGGCCCTAGAGGAGTTTCCGGCTAACAAGACTGGTGCTCCTGTCAAGGCTCTGGTCGAACTATGGAATGGGGAAATGACCAGGGCTATTGACACGATCGCTCCTAAGGATCCTCTCCCACCGGGCAGAGCCCACTCTTCCCCTTGGTATACACCTGAATTGCGGGCGGTGAAGCGGGCTGGGAGACGTCTAGAGCGTAGGTGGAGGAAATCACGGGATGAATCTGACCGAACACACTTAAGAGCCCATTATCGGGCCTATGCTTTGGTGGTGATGCGGGTGAAAAAGACATTCTTCTCCGTTTCCATTGCCTCCTCACAATGCTGTCCGGCAGAGCTGTTTCAGGTGGTACAAGGGCTGGTTCGTCCCAGCCCTAAGAAAGATCTGGTTCCACCCTCAAAGGCCTGCTGTGACGACTTTGCCAAGCATTTCAGGAAGAAAATCACTCAGATTCATCACGAGCTGGACTCCACTAGCGATTCAGAGGCTTCTGGGGAGATACCAATGTTGCCATCTGGTCCAACATTGATGGATGAATTTCAGTTACTGTGGCCTGATGATGTGGACAAGGTGCTTGGACAAGTACGTCCCACCACCTGCCTATTGGACCCTTGCCCATCTTGGCTAATTAACAACGCCAAGCACAGGATAGGGATCTGGAGGTGGTTAATGCCTCTCTGAGGGAGGGCTGGGTACCTGCCCCTTTAAAAGAGGCGGTAGTCCGACCGGTCCTGAAGAAGGCGTCACTGGATCCACAGATGGCCACTAATTATAGACCAGTGGCCAACATCCCGTTTCTGGGCAAGGTGTTCGAGCAGGTGGTGGTGGGACAACTCCAAGCACTCTTGGAGGAAACTAATTATCTGGACCCATTTCAGTCCGGCTTCAGACCCGGGTATGGTACTGAATCTGTCTTGGTCGCCCTGTAAGATGACTTGTGCAAGGAGAAAGACAGGGGGAGTGCATCGCTGTTGGTTCTCCTGGACCTCTCAGCGGCTTTCAATACCATCGACCATGGTATTCTTCTGGATAGGCTAGTGGGACTGGGGGTCGGAGGCACTGCTTTGCAGTGGTTCCACTCCCATCTCGATGGTTGATTCCAGAAGGTGATGCTGGGGGACTAAGGCTCTGTGCCATGGCAGCTATGCCATGGAGTTCCGCAGGGTTCCATTTTGTCCCCCTTGCTATTCAACATCTACATGAAACCACTGGGGGAGGTCATCAGGAGGTGTGGGCTGTGGAATCATCAGGACGCTGATGATACCCAGCTCAACCTCTCGTTTTCTACTAATCCAGGTGAGGCAGTGGCTGTACTGAACCGGTGCCTGGCCACGGTAATTGGCTGGACGAGGGCCAATAAACTGAAGCTCAATCCAGACAAGACGGAGGTCCTGTTGGTTGGCAGATCGGGCTTCAGGGAAGGGGACCTGAACGTAGTCCTGAATGGGGTTGCAGTCCCTCTTGGGGACAAGGTCCGCAGCGTGGGAGTGCTGCTTGACCCAGACCTTTCACTGGAAGCTCAGGTGACAGCAGTGGCAAGGAGTGCTTTCTTTCAGCTTTGGCTGATCCATCAGCTGCGTCCCTACCTAGAGAACGACTGCCTGGCGACAGTGACACACGCATTGGTGACTTCCCGACTTGACTTCTGTAATGCGCGCTACATGGGGCTGCCCTTGAAGACGGTCCGGATACTTCAATTGGTTCAAAATAGAGCTGCCAGGTTGCTGACGGGGACTGGGCGTTATGTTCACATGACTCCAGTTCTCCGTCAGCTTCACTGGCTCCCCATTGAAGTCCGGGCCCAATTCAAGGTGTTGGTTACGACCTATAAAGCCCTTAACGGCTTAGGTCCTGGTTACCTGAACGAGCGCTTATGTCCTCTTGAGATCAGTGGGAGAGACCCTTCTCCGGGAACCCTCCATGAAGGATATTAGGAGGGCTTTCTCTGCGGTGGTGCCCAATCTATGGAATGCACTTCCCAGAGAGGTCCGCCTTGCACCATCGTTATTTGTTTTTTGGCGCCAGGTGAAGACCTTTTTATTCAAACGCTATTTTAATTTTTAATATTATTTATTTATTTTGTTTTTCGGGCCAGGTCGACTCATGTTATATTCTTTTGTCCTCATTTATTTATTATTGTGAGCCGCCCTGAGACTTCGGCGAATGGGGTGGCATAGAAGCCTTCTAAATAAATAAATAAATAAATTTCATGGCAAACTGTATCTGCCTGGGTAATGAATCCTTATTGCTGAACAGGTTTCCCTGCTTGGGTGAAGTTCTGTCCAGCTCTTGGACTTAGCCCCACTCTCCAGGCACCAGAACTCAGCCAGACAGCAAACTGAAACAAACAGCAAAATTTATTAAGGAAAAGACTAGGAAACAGACAAGGGAAAGGGGGATAGCACCAAAAATATTTAGGCACCAATGCCATCCAACAACCCTGATTCTCTGGCAGATGAACTTCTCCGTGGACCATCTTATTAAAACAAGAACTACTCACTCTGTTCAAGCATGATCTAAGCAACAGGCGTCCTTACAGTGACAGTCTTGGAAGTTGATGAGGGAGAGGCACCTTCAACCCAGGTGGCATCCAGAAGGAGACCAAGAGTCCTCAGAGGTTCAGAGTTTTAGCCCAGATTTTCTGGAAATGGGGTGATGTTTAGCAGCCAATCCCAGGAAGCTCCTGCCCCTTGGGCTGCCAGCAATTTACACCTTTAAAGGTCAAGGCAATAACATCTGTAAAGATGTTCTTGGCATCCCTTATGGGTGCATAAGTCGCTCCCTGCTTCCTGGCACAGGGAATTATCTGCTGGACCAGCTGGCCCTTCCATTAATCCCTACGTACCATCCGAGACCTGCTACAATGGGCAGTTCTCCAAAAGAGCGTCTCTCCTTGTTGTTTTTTCATGTCTTTATAAGGGTCTTGGCCTGTTCTTGAGGGGCCAATGGGCTGTATGGAAATGCAATGAACAAACGACATCCAGAAACCTTTGTGTATTACAACCGTGTGTGGAATCCAACAACAGTTATTCC